CCGCCATTACACACATTACTACACACAGACATACCCACTCGCATACCTTTTCACTTTCGCATATTCTGTGTGCTTAGTTTTTGTTTTTCATAAATTGTTGCTGCCTGTTAAAATTATGGCAAATTTGATGTTGGTGATTTACGACGAAATGAATGATATGTTTATCAAATGTTTACTTTTTTCTCTTTTCCTTTTTTATGGACAATTTGTGAATGAATGTGGACACGAATCTGCCAACGTGGATTAGCGTGATGCGGAGGTTTTTCAAAAACAGATCTACTACTGCTAGTGTTGAACTTTCTTTTTTTTTGTTTTGTTTATTTTATTTATTTCCATTTCTCTTTTTGTGTTATTATTATTATTATCATTATTATTATGAACAGTATATAATTTACGAATAAATATCCCTTGTGAACTGAATTTTTTTTAAATTATTACTATAATTTTGTTGTGTAACAGGAGGTAACTTTTTGGCTATCCTGGGTTGATTTAAATTTTGACAGGTTTTATCCTGTCTGGCGCCCGAAGTTTTCTTTATTTGTGTTAGGGCGACCACCGTTACAAACATGTGTTGGTTCCTGATTGAAACATGAAGTTGTACATGATATTTTAATGGACATTTTTTATGCACAAACTACGCATTCGAATATTTTCAATAATTTTCTATAATTGAGTGATCTTTTTTCTTTTTTTTTGCCAATTGATGAACTGTTAAATGAGTGATCTTGAGATGAGTCCCTGTCCAATTTGACTCTCATAAGCATAGATTCAGGAACTTGACAGTGATCAAACTACATTTTATAAAAATCAGTTGTTTAAAAGATTAGGGCAATTATCAAAGTTTGATAAAAAGTTGATGCTACATTTTTAGATGATTTGTTACATTTAATAACCCCTATGCATATATATATATATATATATATATATATACACATCGGGGTCTGATTAAAACCACATCATGGTTTACAGCCCACCTGAGGATATTTACTTTAAGTTGACTTTGACCATTTTTACTTGTATTTGGCACTTTGCTGTATTTTATTTTTGTTAAAATCACTGAGATGAAGTGCTATTTTCTACTCACTATGCGGTTTAGCTCATCCATCAGCGGAGTGTGTTTGTCACAGTGAAGTGTGATGATGGTGGCCTCCACCCAGGCATTATCTGTGTTCCTGCTGTCATCTACATACCGGTAATCCTCATACAGCTGCGTTAGAGAAGAAACACACACATCTGTTTAGCTTTGAGGAACTCTAACTCAAAACAATCAACTGATGGAACTGGTATTATAAACATGGAAAAGAAGTAACATGAGTATTAACTGTCCCTGCATGCTCAAAACTTTACCTTTGTGCGAGTCTACTATTACCGTATTTTCCGCACTATAAGGCGCACCGGATTATAAGGCGCACCTTCAATGAATGACCTAATTTAGAACTGTTTTCATATATAGGGCGCACCGGATTATAAGGCGCATAAGATACTGCAGTCAAACGTTTGACTGGGTTTGCGTTATGCATCCACTAGATGTGCTAAAGGGAATGTCAACAAAACAGTCAGATAAAGTCAAACTTTATTAAGCGTTCTGACAACTCCGTTCACTCCCAGGGTAACGTAGCCTAGAAATCTAGACGCACCCTAGCGGCAGCAAAAATTATTTTGCAGCAAAGTGTGGTCTAGCAACTCTCCATAGACTTTTGAGCTGGAAAAACCAAAAACTGGTCCAGCCAATCAGATCGTGTAGAGTTGGTGGGTGGGCTTAACATATGACGGCAGAGTTATGACGGTTCCGCATGATTTCCATAGGTGATTTCCCTCTGCTTGAAAACAAAGATGCTGCTGGCGAACAACGGTCTTTCGAATCGGCTTTGCCCGTGACTCTGGAGGACTTGGAGTTAAGAGAACGTCACTTAAGTCATTCCTAAAAAAGGAAGATGTGTTCAGAGTTTTGACGACCGGATACGGCAAAAGTGTAATATACCAACTAGCTGGTTCACTGGTGGAAAAACGCATGGGACTCACTCATTTTTTGACCGAAGCGCCCGCGCCCTCAGATCACTTGGACGTGGCTGTGGTTACAAGAGGTAAAAACGATATAAATACTGTTCGTTTTCTCACACAAACCGCTCGTTTCGTGTCTTAGGCCATCAATGTGTACTTACATTTACGAGTCATTAAATCATGTTTAATCTGGACTTCTCTGTGCATGCTCTTTGAGGTGGTGACCATAGACCTGCATTATATGACTGACAGACAAGAACGGTTTGACCTAAAAATATCAAAATTGAAAATACTGTGGACACAAAGACACCTACATCTTGGATGCCCTTGAGGTAAGCTAAAACATACCAAAAATTAATTTCAAAGTGAACTATCCCTTTAAGGTCGCGATTCTTGTCCTAAATAAAGCAGGCTTCATTCAGTGACTGAAACATATTATTGACATTAATGTATGATGTAATGCATAGCTCATTGGCTCACACGTTGGAGGCGCCCGCGCCATTGGATGTGCAGTTGCAGCAGCACAGCCAATGAGTGAGCCATACACTCACTGTGCTAGATGTGCAGCTGCAAAATGCGTTTTACATTTAAGCTTCAGAATTTTACCACTCGCAAACTGCTACCGCGGGCGCATTCTTCCACATTCGAATATTAATTTCCACCTTCGAAAACAGTTCACTTCAACCAATTAACCAATTGATCCATAACTTTTTCTGTTTTTTTTACTATTTTCTTTGTCAAACACCTTTTTTGCATTTTTTGCAGGCAATTGTTTTTTTTACTCTTTTCCCGCCTGTGTTTTTAAAAAAAGTTGCCAGCCAGCGCCAGCATTTTTTATAATTTTCACAAAACTTTCATTGCCCCCAGAATATTTTGTTGTATGAATATCTGTACATGCATATATAGATAAATAAATCAATACAATTTTGTTAATGGTTAATTTAGTGAATAGTCCAAAAATCAAAGTTCTATAATTATTTACTCACTGCATGCTGTATTTTTCCCATGCAACACGACTAGCTAACTAACCCATAGATAACAAATGAAACCCGATGAAGTTCAAATCTATGCTCCTGATGTCTGTAAACAAGTCTGTCTTTTAATCAGTAAAGTTGAGCATCTTGTTGATTTATCTTGCTCACCTGTTTCCCAGCCTTTAGTTCAGACTTGGTCTCGTCATTTATCTTCAATTTTAACTTTAACAGAATCCTCTCCAGTGTCTGTGGTAGAGGCTCGTCAGGTTTGGGTGGGCTCTGCAAGAATAATAAAAAAAAAGACTTAATATATATTAGTGCTGCCACTAACGACTAATTTTCTAACGACTAATCTTTCGACTAATTTTTCGATTAGTCGACTAATCTAAACGACTAATAAAAAAAAAAAAAAGTGTTTATTTCGTTGTGTCCATTTTATTTTGAACTCAACTGAAGGGCCAAAACATCAAATGTCACCTGTTCAAAAACATTATGTATTAACAATCTAAGCATTAAGTATCTGCATTTCCATTAGGCTATACCATATTAGCCAGAGTCCTAATCTAATCCTCTAATAACAAACATGTATGTATTACTAAAATTAGCTCTTTGTTCTGCCTTAAAAAATGTACAGTAAGCTAATAATGATTAATTTATGTACATTTCTGAAAAGCATAACTGATAACATCACTCTGAATAGTAAAGTAGATGCAATGCATTTTCTGTGAAAAGCGCTATACAAATAAATTGGAATTGAATTGAAAGAGTCTGGACTAGCCCACTATGAGTCGCGCTGAAAGCAGGCAGGCACGCAGTTATGTAGCTCGCGTTTACACTTGCGTGCATGGCGGGCCCGTGCCGCGGTTCGCGTGAATGTGAAAGCAACACGGACTCGGGAGCGCTTGTTCAGGAAGTAACCTGCCCATGCGTTTTAGCTGATTATGATGCATTTAGTTAAATAAAACACATGTAAGGGATGATAGTGTTGATGATTTACCTTGGATACGCGAGAGTTGAGTCTGCAGTTTATTCGCGCATTGCGCGTGGAATCAGGGCAACACATTTGGAAATCCACTGTCTCCTCAAAAGAGTCCGTTTGAAAAACACAATATATTGACCCGCGTTCTGTTTTCTATCATGCGCCGTGCACGTTTGCGATGGCATAAGATGCACGCAAACTCAACAGGGTTCGATAGAATTGAGTGTGAAACCAGACCAACGCTGCGGGGGGCGCCGGGAACAATCGGGCACGCGCTCGGACTCGGACCGCAGCAAACGAGCCCACTGTGAAAGCTCCGTCACCTGCCTCCGCAATTTTTCATATCAAAGCAGTGAAGGCGGGCGGGAACGTGAAGGAAAATGATAGCAGATAAACCAGCAGGGCGCGCATGGCGCACAGACTGGTGTGTGGAGGTGAATTACAGTGAGCCGTTTGTGACGGGAGACCAAAAATAAATAGCGGTCAATAGTAAAACGACACGTCGACTGAAAAAAATGCCGTCGACTAATTTGCATGGTCGATTACGTCGACTAAGTCGACTAATCGCGGCAGCACTAATATATATATATATATATATCTAGAAAGCTTGTTTGTGCATGTCAACTCTTGGTTCCAAAATTACAATATAGCAAATATGATTGTTATGACTGCATAATAAAGCAAATGCAACGATTCTCTGTATCATATTAAGATTCTGAAAATGTCACTGTACAGATTTTATTTTAAGCATTCATTCTCACCCCAGGAAGAGTCATAGGCTTCTCTACATCCTCGGAAACGGAGAGAAACTCCAGCACTTGGTGTTCAGCATCACGCCACCTTTAAAACAGGCAGCTCAATCATTTCTTTATGTTTAATACACTAACAGCAGGACGTGAGATGAATGTGATCTCTAATCTCTGTTGTTTTTGGTGTATTCGGTTGTAAACTTCAATTTCATCTGATATGAGATTAGATTTTAAATCCAGGAGGAAGTGGACTTGAATTGGATTTTAACTCCAGTGTTGTGTACCTGGTGAAGATTAGGTGGAGAATGTGATTCGGGCCGAGGGATTTCAGAGCCCCTTTTCCCCGTATCCCAGTCCTTCCTTCTGGATTCCTGTAAAATCCATTCATGACAATGAGACTCAATCAAATGCAATTAAATGCAAATTCCAGTAGGAGAATAAAAGCACTGATGAAATATTTTTTGCTCAGCATACCTGTACTTGTCTAAGACTGAAGTGTCTGAGCTGTACAGAAAAAAAAAGTGTTTTTATTTACAAAAGCTTCACAATATCAACAAGACTGTCAGAAAAAAAAAATGAAGAAAAAAAAGCATTTCAAGATTCAAGTCTTCAGCTCTAACAAAATTGCAATGCAGTAAAGTCATCTTACTGTCATTTCTATTTAACTTACTGTAAATTGGCTGGAGATAATTCTTAAAAGCAAAACTTTATGGTGTGTTCAAGTCCTCTTGAGAAGTTCGTATTTACGAGTTGGGAAGTCGTACGACGTCAGGTGCGTTCCAGTCACTTTAGTCAAAGCAAGATGGCGATTTTTTGTTTTTATTCAATTGAAATGCTATAAATTGAATCATTATACAGTAGACAACATTTGAAGTGGATCAAAACCTTTCATCAAAGTTATACATGAATTTTGAACAATACCCGTTCTTGTCTTAGGACAACTTTGATTAACTTTTTTGATCCACTTCAAATGTTAACTACTGTATATTCTATCACAATTGTACAATAATATGGTATTTTGTACATGCAACTTTGTTAAAATGAATGAATTTTTTCCTTTTTTCATCTAATTTACCATTAATACAGACGCTGCATCTATTACGTCCAACATGTTTTCTCACGGACACTCGGAAACTTTGGGATTAAAGAAAATCTCAAGTCTCCCACTCATAATTATAACTTTGTGGTGATGTTCATGTGGGTATTTCCGGCAAGACTTGAATGCATCATTAGAACAGAGTGTTGCCTTTCACTTTCAACTATATTTAATAGTGCATGATAATTGCACACGACTATATCGTAGATCAATTCGATTAATGGTGCCACTCTATCTTTCAGTATAAAACTTACTCGCTGCTGTCCTGTGGATTGTAAACTGGGGGATTGTACAGACTGAAGTTTACCTAAAAGAGTAAAAAATGTGTGAGATAAAATAAACAATACAACAGAATGCTATTTATTGTTATAAGACAGTGGTTCTCAACCGGTGGGGGGCGCGGACACTCTCCCGGTGGGGCGCGAGTAGGCTGCAGGATGGGAGGGGGGAAAATCACGAAAATTCCCCCCATGTTGAAATGCAAGTGGTTGGAGTCAAGGGTAGCCAGAAAAGAGTCTCTGGGTGTGCATAAGAAAAACTGGGTGTGCCACATTTATTGTCAGATTAATGTGCAATAAACCCAGACTCTGCCTATCTCTAACTTTACAGAATAGACTGGGCTGATGTGTAAAACTATAGGCAGAAGATCACGCTAAAGTCTGAGCACGCGAAGCCGTCCTAACCAAGAGAGAGAAAAGACGCGTGCGTCCCGCTGCGGCCGGACCGCCGTCAAAGGTTATTTCCCTGACAGTCCCCTTCAAACAGGCTACTGCAGTGGTTCATTTGGCAGCCAACGAGCCGGTTCATTTACCCTCTCGCCTGCACACAAACGCCGTTTTCACGGCGACCCAGAGAAATCTCAAAAAGAGTATAATGTCTGGTCCGGCAAACGCCGTTGGTGTTTTAAGTGTAGTGAAAGTGCCCATGCCCCAGTGTTCACCCCTACACACAAGCACATCAAATCTCGTGTCACTCACAGAGCACACTCTCATAAAGCGCAGAAAAGCCGCTCGAGTGTTGAATATAAGAAATGTGTCCACGGGTCTGTGCCCACTATCTGCCCGCTCTGTTACACGGTCAATAAAACAGATTATGAATGTAAGTCTCGTGCCAGCCGGAGAGCGTTCACGCTTACTAACACACACTTCCCCCCGGGCGCCGCCCGTGCGTTTAAATGTTATCACAAAACGCAGGGCATTGATAAGACGCTCCCCATCCGTTATGATCAGGGCGTCAAAATACACTTGTAAGTCTCATGCCCGCGCACTCGCGCTCACGCTTACAGAAAGCTTTTCCGCCCAAAAAGTGAGAAAAGAATGCTTCCCCATCCCTTATGATTGGGACACCTCACATAAATCAGACGGTCTCAGCTTGCAGCGAGCAGCCATTGCCCAGAACCGAGAGCACGCGCGCCGCGCTTTCGGCTCCGGCTCAGTTTCACAAGCCCGCAAATGGCGGCGATCTGAACCCGGAGGCCATTCGCCCCCTAGCGGCTCACGTAGCTGCGTGGGAAACTATCCCAGGGATTTCAGAATGGGTTCTGAGCACAATAAAGCAGGGCTATACACTTCAATTCATTCGCCGTCCCCCGCGCTTTCGAGCCCAGACCGCGACGATAGTGAATGCGGAAGCAGCACACCTACTTCACGCAGAAATAGCACAACTGCTGTGCAAAGGGGCTATAGAAAAAGTACCGCCTTCTCTGAGCGAGTCAGGCTTTTACAGCCGATATTTTCTCGTATCCAAGAAAGACGGAGCTTTCAGACCTATCCTAGATCTGAGACATTTGAACAAAGGGCTTGCAAAAAGACCGTTCAAAATGCTTACGACCAGAAAAATCCTCGCGCACGTTCGCCCGAGGGACTGGTTTATTTCTCTAGATCTGAAGGATGCCTATTTTCAGATTCAGATATTACCCCGTCACAGGCAATTTTTGAGATTCGCCTTCGACGGTCAGGTATATCAATACACCGTCCTGCCGTTCGGCCTGTCTCTAGCACCCCGTACATTTACGAAGTGCATGGACACGGCGCTCGCCCCCCTGAGAACTCAGGGGCTGCGAATAATGAACTATCTGGACGATTGGCTGATATTGGCACAGTCAGAGACGGAGCTGTTATCTCACAGAACAGTGCTTCTCAGTCACCTGGAAAGCTTGGGTCTCACGGTCAACTGGACCAAGAGCTCATTAATGCCCAGTCAGTCAATTTCCTTTTTAGGAATAGAACTGAATTCTGTGGCCATGACGGCTCGTTTGTCGACACAGCACGCGCGCCGTGTTCGCCGCCTAGCCGCGTCTTTCCAGAAGGGCAGCTTTCTCCCTTTGAAAACGTTTCAAAGGATGCTGGGCTGTATGGCTTCAGCGGCAGCGTTGCTCCAGCTGGGCCTACTGCGCATGCGCCCGCTCCAACGCTGGTTGAGTGCTCGCGCGTCTCGCCGAGCCTGGGTTTCTGGCGGCCAGAAGATCAGAGTGACTCAGACCTGCATAGCGGCTCTGCAGCCCTGGTTAGTATCAGCAGGGAGTGATGATGGGAACCATCTCTTATCGGAAAGTCATTTCGACAGACGCGTCCAACTCGGGTTGGGGCGCGGTGTTCGAGGGCAGACAGGCTTTTGGCCAGTGGTCAGACCAAGAGAAGTGTTTTCACTAGGGCTGTCCCGATCCGATCATGCGATCGGAAATCGGGCCCGATCATGTGGTTTCAGACTCGATCGGAATCGGACGTTACCTACCGATCAGGACTCAGATATATGTAAATTAGGGGTGTAACGCTACATGTATTCGTAATTATTGAACCATTTCGGTACGAGGCTTCCAGTTCGGTACGCATACAAACAGAACGATTCCTAGGACCATTTCTCCTGCAGACAAAATCCGCGCTGGCGCGATCACCACAACATTGCGCAACATCAAATGGTAAACGTAATGAAAGCGGAACGAAACTGCACTACTCATTATATTGTGCTTAACGGACCATTTATCAGTTCGGACCAGCAACATCTGTGCAGCGCGAGATCAAGCGACACTGTGCTAAGAGATCCAGTGAAGAAAACATTTGAATTCGCCACTGAAGTAATAACATTGCTGTGAGATCTAGTGAGAAGCATTCAAATTTCTCCGTTATTAACCGTAGATCTCTATTAGATCAAACAGCGCTGACGTGGGAACCAGGAGAAACATTGTGCCGTGAATGAACATGGATTTAATGTTGCACTTCAAAACTCAAATATTATATAAATATATATTTAAATGTTATTTTTAATGTGATTACCAAAACATTATTTGTTCATCTTTCAAAGATTACCCCCATTTATAAACCTGAAAGTTTCAAGATGTAGGAAAACTCAAACTTATTTAAAAATATTTTTTCTTTTCATAAATAGGAAATTTCTCTGGCATTTCTTTTTTTTTGCTGTATCATATCGAACCGAACCACAAATTTTGTGAACTGTTACACCCCTAATGTATATATATATTCTCTTTTTTTTATACACTTTTAAAACATTTTTATTTTTTGTTTACATGCCTGCTGGGTATTTTAAGTTGAGGTGCTATTTGTTTTTATATTAGACTTTTTCTATTTTTACTGTTGCACTAAAGTCCAAAAGTGAAGATTTTATGTTATTTATTACTTGATTGTTCAAGCTACCTCACAGAAGTGCTCTGTTTGTTAACAGTTGTTGAATGTTAAAATAAGCTGAATTAAATAAAAAATAAGGAACATCCTGGATCTGTTTTTTCACTCTTCTTTATTCTTTTGTATGTGTTATATAAGTATCGGATCGGGACTCGGTATCGGCAGATGCTCAAAATCAAATGACTCGGACTCGGACTCGAGGGCAAAAAAACCTGATCGGGACATCCCTAGTTTTCACATAAACTGTCTGGAAATGATAGCGGTTGAGAACGCGCTGAAGCGCTTCCTCCTGTTCATACAGAACCAACATGTTCTCGTCCGCTCGGACAACATGTCTGTGGTTTCCTATGTAAACCGTCAGGGCGGTGTCAGATCCAGAAACCTCTGCAATCTGACGGAACCCATCCTTATTTGGTCCCAGATGCACCTGCGCTCGCTGAGGGCGGAGCATGTGCCTGGCCATTTGAACGACGGCCCAGACAAACTGTCCAGGGACAACGTTCCCCCAGGGGAATGGTCCCTGCACCCCCAAACAGTCCAGAAACTGTGGCGCCTATTTGGCAGAGCGGAAGTCGACCTATTTGCGTCAAAAGACAACGCTCATTGCCCGATGTTCTTTTCGAAGAACGAGGACGCGCTGGCCCAGGTCTGGCCCAGCCTCCCACTGTATGCTTTCCCTCCGGTCTCCCTGTTACCACAGGTGATCAAGAGAATCAGGGAAACGCGCCACTCTGTGCTCCTCATAGCTCCGCACTGGGAGAATCAGAATTGGTTCCCGGAACTAGCACGGCTGTCACATGCAGCTCCGTGGCCTATTCCGGTGAGGGCAGATCTCCTCTCTCAGGCTCGCGGCTCGATCTGGCATCCCTATCCAGAGCGCTGGTCTCTGCATGCATGGTTGATCAACGGGTACTCGTTGCCCTGCCAGAAAGAGTAATGAACACGATCACGCAGTCTAGAGCTCCTTCCACGAGAAGGCTCTACGCGTTTAAATGGTTGGTGTTCTCCAAGTGGTGCACCGACAGAGATCTGGACCCGCGGACGTGCGAGGTTGCGCATCTGCTCACTTTCCTACAAGAGCTGATGGATAAAGGGAGGTCCCCATCCACGCTCAAAGTTTATGTGGCGGCCGTGGTGGCGTTCGCAGAATCGACGCACGGCCAGTCACTGGGAAGACATGAGCTGGTCATCCGCTTCCTTAGGGGAGCTAGAAGGATGAATCCGCCGCGCCCCCCGTCGGTTCCTATGTGGGATATTTCATTGGTCCTCGAGGCCCTGAAAGCCTTCCCATTTGAGCCACTAGACTCCGTGGAGTTAAAACACCTATCACTAAAAAACGTTTTTCTGACCGCGCTGTCATCAGTCAAACGTGTGGGGGACCTGCACGCGCTGTCAATCAGCGCAACGTGTCTTGAGTTCGGGCCGAATGATTCTAAAGTCATCCTCAAACCTAGACATGGCTATGTTCCAAAAGTGATGGGCACTCCTTTCAGAGCGCAAGTCATTTCACTGTCGGCTCTGCCAGCGTCAGACAGTGAGACAGACGTGAATCTCCTTTGCCCGGTCAGGGCGCTGAGGTTTTACACTACGCGCTCCGCCTCTTTCAGGCGCACGGAGCAGCTGTTTGTTTCGTTTGGTGGGCGCACCAAAGGTCTCGCTGCCTCGAAACAA